TGTTAAGATGGAGTCTCACTAACTTGCTGAATTTCCCAGACTGGGGTTGAATTTGTGATCCTCCTGCCTCAGCCTCTGTTTTTGAATAGTGGATAGTAAAGCATTTGAGTAAGTAGAAAGAGTTTCTACAGTTTACCGTGCTGCGCTGCTTCCAGTGCCCTGAGCCCAGAGGGGGAAGAGTCTTAGTTCCTATTCCACTCTCTTGAGCCAGGTGAAGGTGGTGGCAGACCCAGTGATAATGCCAAGTCCCCCAGGGTGGAATTCCCAGTACCCCAGCACACTGGGAAAACTAATTAAAGAAGGCAAGCCTTTCCGGAACCTGTGCACAAATCACCCCAGGAAGCTCTGTATCATTCCTGCATTCCTCACATTAGTGCCCTTGGCAATAGAGTCCTTTAGGCAAGTAAGTTTATGCTTCATTATCAGGACAGTGGCTTCTGTTTAGCAATGAAGATAATTGTAGCTTCCAGAGAGAGAAATAGATAATGCAAATTTTATTTCTGCTGGATTATTCAACATCCCCAGAAGGCTGTGAGAAGCAGTTAGTAGGCCTTCTGTACAACATACCTCCCAGACGTGAGAGACAGTGCCAGGATGTGCCCGCCCTGCCTAACAGCTTAGCACCCTGCTGTTCTGGAGTTAGTTCAACTTTAAAGATGCCGAAACTTGTGACTGGGAAATTGAAGGGACTTCTTGAGAATCGGATGATTCATTGGTAGCGCTCTAGCTCTGGGATTCTGTATCCTGGGGTGACAATGATGCCATTTCATAAATCTGTGCCCCAAAACATATATGGCTATTACAAAGCAAGCACTAAAGACTTACTTAAAATAAATGGAAGTATTAATATGATGTGAAAATTTTAACTTACAAGAATAGGACTAGCCAGGTGTGGTGGCGCATGCCTGTAATCCCAACACTCAGGAGGCAGAGACAGGAGGATCACGTTTGAGATCAGCCTGGGCTACAAAGTGAACTCAAGGCCAGCCTGAACTGCATAATGAGACCCCATCTAAAAAAAAAAAA